AGTATGAGTCTACATGGGCAGGATGCTTAAGATTTATACGAAACGTTGACCAACATTGGCAAAATAAACCTCGTCCGCATCTATCACAATATGTAAAGCAAGGCAATTATAAAAAGTATTTCCTGCAACGTTTTCCTGAACTTCCTCTTCTGGTGCACAAAGTCATTAGCTCTACTCACAAGAAAACTAAACCTGATCACAAGAATAATTAAGAACATCGTGCATTTGTTCAGGATTTTTTTACACTATCTACTCATAAGTTTTATTGTCTCGCTTTTAAGCTTAATGACTTTTCATTTAAACATTTTCTCACTTGATACTGACGTCATATAATTAATTATGTAATATATACTGTGAAAAATTTTAATCTCCGCAAATGGATATGATTACTTAAAATATTTATAATGGGACTTAAAATATTACTAATTCTAATGTATAGTTATGTAGTGGCGACGTATCCCTCGCAATACATGGCATTCATCTTGTTAAATGAATTAAAATTGTATGTTCGTCATTCGTATTTTGTTAAATACATGCATGGCTGCGACTCAAAATTATTTAGATTTTTGAACGTTGGAGATTTACCTCATCGCAGAATACAGCGAGGAGTTAAGAATTCAGAATTGGATAGCTCCAGTCATATGATCTATCCAGCATCCAATCATCAATGTATCTTGCTACAAGAAATAGTCTAATGTTATGATAAGTGATTGTTGTGAACATTTAAATGTTGTTGAATTCTGCAAATAACAAATAAAATCAATTTTTGACGTTTCAGTATCCACCGCCACTAACCTTGTAACTGTTATGATGTTTTTTTATTGATTTTGGAATACAGGAATAGTAGCTTTTTACGTTGAAACAAATGGAAAACATCGTTTTGGACCTGAATGGTTTTTATTTTTTCATAAATGTTTTCAGTATGAAAGCTAGTTGATATTGACAAATAGTTGAAGTCAATTATTTAAGTAACACTTTATGCAATGAAATTTGTCAAATTTATTCAATGAAATACAGATAATGTTTCACTTCACTCCAACGATTTGAGAAATTTTTGACAAATCTTCCTTTTCCCTTTTGCTTTTGCTTATTGAATATATCCAAGCTGTTTGTACACCTGCCACATTTCAACATCATGTCAAAATGCTTTATTGATAATTCTCCGCTTTCTTTGTAAACGGAAAACACTCATAGATTTGCCATATTCCATTCTACAATCGGAAGATTTTTCGTTTGCAAGCCTGTTATGGTCATTCTCAGTCCTATTCGTGTTACAGTTCATTACCGTTCGCATCAAATTATCTCGAGAGCTATTTAACATATCGGCAAAATATACGCATAGACCGCAGTCCTGTGTTTTTCTACTGTAGAAGTCCAGCCGGGCATTTCTGCGAAGTTGACTGATATTTCTTGCTACTTGGAGTGGACTTGGGTGAAATCAAAGATGCCTCACTAAAACCAGAAGACAAGCCATCTGCAGACGAAGAATGTTATGTATAAAGTTGGACAACAACGATCGATTAAAACAAATGTCTGTGTTAGATAAAATGCAAAATGAATGAAAGCTTGAGCGCTTTCCGGCACCCGTGTCATAATTACCAGATATTTATCATGTTGAATAATGTTGGTCACGAATGAATGTTTCCTCCAGGTGTGCGCGCATGAAAAGCTATCGCCTCAGCAAATGTAACATTTACGCATGCACTGTCTACGGTAATATTTGCTATTCAAAGCAAAATGGCTGCTGCTTATAGTATGTTTGATTCGTTGTCAGGTGTAGAAGACAAAGAAATGTTGCTTTTTCCACTTTTATTGCGGCTACGGCAAAGGCGTTTGAAAGCAGCTAAATCAACTACATGGACAAAGCGTGGAATATCTGGACGGCCTACATAGGGAGCTACAAATATTGTCCATGAGCTGGATGCTGAAGAGGCTGAGCAGTTTCGGAAGTATCGTAGATTGGATAAAACCACTTTCGATAAATAAATTTGGTCTTCTAACATTATATCAGCTATCACGTTTTGTACCGCAATTTTCGTACAAGAATAAAATGAGTTATTTTGCGCATGCGTAAAGTTACACTTGCTGAGGTAATAGCTTTTGATGCGCGCACACTTGGAGGAAACATTCATTCGTGACCAACATTATTCAACATGTTGAATATCTGACAAATATGACACGTCTGTCGGAAAGCACTCAAAAATGCCGTCGAGCACTGGAGGAACTTGCTTACGCCAGCTTTCAGGAGTGAAGCTTAGCTCAGCCACAGTATAGTAAATATACAGTAAGAGCCACTCTATTGAAATTTTTTGTGTCACGCATATCTTATTACACATGTGATTACCATAGTGGCGGCCAGTCAATTGCAATTTCTGACCAATAGGAATGATGAAATGGTCAACGGCAGCCAGTAAACTAATTAAATATACAGCAGCCAGTTGCACAGCCGTGGAGCATTTTCAAACTTGTGCTGAATTGAGCTCCGTTAAGTGAGTTGAAACTTCAGCTATGTCTTAATACAAATCATTCGTTATATCAAACGCGCGATTATAAGCCAAATTTTCAACCCTGTGCTGAGTTCAAGCCCGGTGCTGAAATTTAAACCCAGTTTTAGCTAATCGGGTTGAAATTGCGGCTCAAATGAGAGGCTGATTACAGAAGCCGTGGTAGCCGTGATTCAGCCAAGCGTTAAATGATTTTGGCAAATGGAAACGATTCAATACTCGTCATCAGATAAATCTTCTCAAGCAATTTTACGATATTTTGATTTAATCACTACGCAAAACATTTAAAATGAAAACAGTCAATTTGGCCTAATTTTAGAATTACAACAGGAATGAATTGCGGCATTTAACAAACATTTACCCTTGAAGTTTTGGCCCCTTTCAATCCCTCGAAATCATTTCACGCCTCACTGAAACCCGGTTAACTGGGATCATGTAAACAGCCCCTTAACGTTCTAACATCGCCATGTGTCGAACTCAGCACTAGAACGAAAATTACCACCATGTAATCGTTTTTAACGTAGGTCTGAGTTTTTTAACCATATCTAGTCAATTGATGTCGGCTAGACATTATTTTTATGTTTTATATTTCTGGTGTCTATTACATTAGATTCCTATTAATTTCTAATTACTTTTTAATTAATTGCCAAAGCTGTCCCTAATTGCAAATTTTCACTCTGATAATTTTTGCTTAATCCTTGGCAGAAAAAATTTTGAGTTTTTTCTGAAAAGGTTAATTTGATGGCACTGTTTGTGGAGATGGGTAAAGGGTTACAATAAACTTGCATGGTTTGAAGTCTGAGCTTTTCTACATCTATGAACAGCCTTATAGTACCAAATTTCTAACTTAACTCATTACATAAAGGTTTGAATGGGGGTCTCTAGGGGAGTCTATGCCTGACAACGTGGTAGAAATTTTTAAAGACAATATCTTGCTTGGAATAGCATTATTGTAAATTGAATTTTGTTCCTAAACATGGTAATGAGCCATATATTTGGCATGATAATGAGCCTAAATATTTGGCAAAACATTCAAGTATTGTTCACTTCATTTCTTTTTGAAGAAAACGTAAGCAAAATGTGTTGTTTTTACGCAAAAACTATGCTCACAAAATGCATTTTGTATTGCTCTAAAACGCTGAAAATGGCATTTCCAAGTCTCTGAAATTCAAAATTTCCTAGGGGAGAATGCCTCGGACCCCACCATGTGCGAAACGCCTCTGACGTTTTATGACTGATGTTTGAAAAATCCTAGATCCGCCCCTGCTTTGTCATATATGAGTAATAAGATATCATTATACTTTAAAAATCTGGATATGACTGTTCTATGTCAAAAACAGTGACCTTATTTTTAAAATACGGTGAAAGATCAGGAAATAAATGTAAAAAGAAGTTATAAAAACAGGTATGACTGAAAGAGTACATTTAAGCAATATTAAAATAAACATGTTTTTGTTGCCGGGTTAAATTACAGTAATTTAGAAAATGTTCATATGGCCTTTGTCAAAATCACCACAAAACCCGACAATCTCTCGTTCGCAGCATTTTTTTATTCAGTTCAATAACAGCCAAATAATAAACTTTTAGATTCCTAACCTCCTTGTTTTATAAATCTTTGTAACTCATTTTGTATCTATATACATTTCTACAACATAGCATGCCTGTATCAGTAAGTAATATTTTCATAATTTATTTAAACATGTGCTAAAAATCAGAGGTGAGACAGTTTGGATGGCTGAAATCTAGAAATAGAATGTGTCAGCCAATATATGAGCTCGTAATTAGATTTTCACCAAGGGTGCCAAGTTGACACTCTTAAAATTATGAATTTTATATTTTGTAAAGATACAAGAAATGCAAAAACCTGCTTGGAGTCCTTCACAGCAACGTTTTGTCTTAAAGTGGCATTTGGCAACCGGACTATAATTAGAATTTAAATTTAGTTAATTTAACACGCACAATAAAACATGCGAGTAAACAGCCATTTTCATGTCAAGAACGCTGGTCTGAGACAATCATTAATCACCCACATGCCACAATGGCTAGTCCATTTTCACATTCTCTGTATGAACGAAAACTGGTAGTAACTGTAACGTACGGAGCAAATGCCACTAGCAAGCTGATGTAGACCCAATTTCTCATTATATTTTCTTTTCAACCCGCCTACAATAATTCACCAATTTTCTTATTTACACTCATGCACTATTCGTGTTACGATTGGTAAGACTTGAATATTATTTATTAGCACAGGATCATGCACGTAGCCAGAACAATAATTGGGGCATATTCATAAACATTAATTTTTTAATCCGTAAAACAAATTTTATTTTACGATAGAAAACATGCTCAATTGCATGCGCATATAAAATTTAAATAAAACATTTCCAATTCAATATTCACAAATTTTATTTTCTCTCCACCCACCCTCCCTAAGGAAAGTATAGTTTTTTCCAGCTGTGATCTTTGGAAATGCTTCCATTGTTAAAAGATTATTTACATACGCGATGCAAAACAAGTCATACGTATTATTTTGATAGTTGCTTCTCATCATACGAAGCAAAAACGTTTAAGAAGTGGAACATGCACTGAAATTATTGTAAGTTCTATTTGTATCGTATTCTCTTCATGATTTAACACTGGTACGCTTTGCCATAAACATTTGCGAATTCTTTCAGTATATGTAATGACAATGTTCAAATTCCATTGCGTCAGACGTTTGACTTAAAGGCCACAAGTTTGAATTTATATGTAGTTTTAGTCTCTTTTTATTGCTCCATGTCTAAGATTATATTTTTAAAAGTATAGATTTTTACAAATAGCGGAAAAATTAGAAAAAATTAGTCAGACAGCAAGTACTAAAAAATTCCATAACATTGGGCTGGGATGTTGGATTGTTACTCACTAATATATCGTTATTCTTTTAAAATAGCGTTACAACAAGACTATTTTAAAGTTCTTATTATTTGGGCAACTTTGTTAGCGTGTATATTAAATATTTATTTTGTTCATGAGTCATAAGTCAAGAGGTTTGAACTACGTAGGCGGGAATGGACACGCAAGCAAATTTTTTAATAAAAAATAAAATTCATAGGAAGATTGTTGTTGACATTGTTTAAACTATTTTTATCATCTTATCATTTAGATCTTGACAAATTTCCGTTTGTACTTCATGATGATTTGGTTGGAAACTGGTAATCGCTAGAAAACTCTGTAAAACTGAAATTACATGGATTACTATGCAGCATTTCAATAAATACGATATTCAAGTTTATCGTTTGCATTTTTTCGTCTGTTTAATGTTTCAGAGGGAAAAAACTGTAAATGTTATGTACATCATAACTGAAATAAATCTTACTGAAAGATTGCCGATAAAAATTTCGTATAACTTATCTTTGAAAAGTGAAAATATTCAAAGTTACCGGTTCATTAAATGCACCATGCTAAGTAGATTGCAATGCAGCTTTCAAAAGCTTACCCTGTCTTTAATTTGCTGAAATTTAATCGTTATTGCTAATACCTGTATCTAACATCTTAAGTTTTATTTTTTAGAAATTATTATTTTCCTATCCAAGTAAAAACAAGTTGCTTTTCTTTCTGTCATAATGATGATTAAATGTCCAAGCGCTTTGATAAGAAATTTTTTTGGAAATTTGTCTTGTTTTTTATAAAATGAAAGCAAAAATAGGATTTTAATAAAATGAAAGCAAAAACATAACAATAAAATTGTCAAAGCCAAAAAGATCGAGGTACACTAAATTTAATTAATTTTATGATGCTTCGTTTTTGGTCAAAAATTATTTTATATACTCTTTCAATATAAGATGTCTTCATTTTGACATGTTTAAAGCATGTTCTAAAATACCTTTTGTATTTCTTAGCTACCACGTTTGATCATGAGCAGCGCTGACTACATCGTACAGTACAAAATTCTTGTATATGCATTCCACACACATCTTTTAGAAGTTCATTTCACTGACTTCCGCACACGCAGTTCAACCAATAATTTAATAGAACTACCTCAAGTTTTTTTCTTGAATTTATGTATGGCACTTTTCATTAATGAGATTGTTTCTTCCTGAATTAAAGACTGAACATTTCCATAAAGCTATTTGCATCATTAAAGACAGAAGTAATGTTTAATATTTCAATTTGTATATTTTAATGAGCCATGTATACATTAAACACGTGGTCAATATAACGACTGTTTCATGATGTAGCTTTTATTAGATCGCATACAAGTATCGTACCGTCTTTGATTAGTAATTTTTTTTTGGTACGGATTTTTTAGTTCTAACATTTTTGCCATTCAAATGGATCCAAGCCACAACTTCTCAGAAAGTCTGGTCAAAAACTCAAGCATTTCAGAAGGTAAACTTAAAAACATTAGGTTCTTTAATTCTCCGAACTCTTTTCACTACGACAGATGCTTTCATCTTTGATTTTTCAATCTCAATGTTTTGGCATTTAAAAGAAAAGATACTGACATTAACTTTTCCATTCACAAGAATTGAAAATTATTTAGCAGTGGAAAAATCAAAAAGCGAGCTGACGCAATTTCTAAAGTTAACGAGAGTAAATTAAGTGTGGAAACAAGGTGTTGATAACTTTTATGAGGAACATTTAGTCTAAACGTCCCTCAACGTCCTTTGAACTAAATATCTCTCATTCGTGTGTTTGGGAGAAGGGAAATACGCTGCTAATACAAAAAACTGAAACAAAGGCAAACATGTTATTATGTTATTATTTAGTAGCTAAATATAAAAGTCAGTTCACCTTAACTGGCAAAGCGGTGTAGGTGTTTCAAATCTTGTCTAATAGCCACATTTTTTTGATGTGCGTATAATTAGAAAATTAAATTGCTTCTTGATACATTGATTTATTCCTTTCTAAATAGTCTACTTTACTTTTTAATTGAAGAATTGCTTTCTCAACCATGGAAATGTTATGATAAATCAATAATGCATCAGCAAAAGTTCAGAATGATGGAAAAATATGGGCAGGAAAATCCAAGAAAAGTTAAACTTGTAAATGGTGTAAAGGTTATTTGTTCTGAAGAGTTTTTGCTTGGTAAAGGAAGTGATGGAACTCGTGTTTACCTTGGACTCGGAAAAGATGGTTACGGAAAAGCAGTAAAACGATTGCTTCGAGATAACTGCGTGGAGTTAGCCAAACGAGAAAAAGAAATTTTGAATGAGTTGAATGCCAAGCGTTCAAATTATGTTGTGAATTATTGGTATCTTGAAGAAGAACCAGGCACAGATTACTTGTATTTGATATTAGATTTGTGTGAAGAATCGTTAGAGAGTTATGTGAAATCTTCTTCTTTGCAAGATCTTCAAAAAGTCGTTCCTAAAGTTCTTATTCAGATCTTAAATGGTCTAGTTCACCTTCACAGTGGTTCGTGTCCTATTCTTCATCGGGATTTAAGACCACCAAACGTTCTTCTAGATGTGGATGGAAATTTTTTAATCGCTGACTTTGGTATAAGTCGAAAATTATTAAATGAAACTTCGACACATCGGAGCATACAAAGGGGAGCAAAAAATTGGATAGCTCCAGAGTCATATAACGCATCAGATGATACAATTAATAAAGTTCGTTACAAAAAAGAGTCTGACATTATGGTAAGTTCTTGAAGTAAAAATAGAGGTCCAACTACAGGTCAATGTTGTGTTTGCATTTGAATGTTGTATTTAGTCGAGATATCATCAGTGCCACTGATATCATTATCACTTTTAAATTAATTTTTGTTTACCTTCATTGTACAGTCATATAGTGGCGAAATACAAATTGTACTGTATAAAATATAAAAATATGTATATGTATGATAATGAATTTATTGTTGTTATTGCCTTATTGTATGTCTCTCATTTAGATTGCTCTAAAAAATTTGTGGCTACGATTCTTAATTGGAGAACATTATTCTGATTTTTTCGACTAAACTTGTATTTTTTTGCAACTAACAAATGAATTAACTCCGTTTTTTATTGAAAATAGAATGCCGGAATGGTGGCTTATTATGTTGCAACAAAGGGAAAACATCCTTTTGGAATTGAACGGCATAGACTGGACAACATTTTGAAAGGAAACCCAGTTGGCTTGAACGAAATCAAGGATGCCACGTTCAAAGACCTTTTATCGTGGATGCTACAGCTAGAACCGGAAGATAGACCATTGGCCAACGAAGCGTTAAAACACCCTTATCTACAAACCGATAAGGAGAATTTTGATTTGCTGTGTGATGTTGGGAATGAACCAGAAATAAAGACATCATCTCCACATTCTCTTCCCTCAAATATTCGTGAGCAGTTAAATCTTTCAATAGGTTGGATGGACCGTATCAATCCTGAATTCTTTAATCATTTCAATAAAGTATCCGACTCTACATGGTTAGTTGCCTAAGATTTTTACGAAACGTTCGCCAGCATTGGCGTGATAAACCTCGTCCACAACTGTCATCATGTGTTAAAGATGGAAACTATCAAGAGTATTTTCTTCAACTTTTTGAGGAGCTGCCTTATCTAGTTCACAGAGCCATAAGATTGAGTGATTGGAAGGCAAGACCTGATCTAGAGAAACATTTTCCAAGTAAGACACAGAAATGAGTTTTCATTTTTGATGGCCAAGCTATAAATTAGGGGTCCATGACACTATATTTGTTATTTTCACTCTAGTTCTCCTCTTCATTTATTGTACTTAATGCATGTTTGTTTTGAATTCTGTATATTGCCGTTGCAAACATTTGTTACACAGTGCACACGCTGTAAAACTTGAAGAAGGCAGGGGAAAGAAAAGCGAAGGTGTTATTGACAACGCTGATCTTAACGGTAAATAGCTATGTAACAACAAACTAATGCTGTGTACGTATCACTTTTCTCAAATATTCTACCAAAAATCGTAATCTCTTCACTTGTATCTGGTGCGTCGTTTTCTAATTTTGTGCAACTGAAAATAACGGTTCAAGCATGTGTGATAGTACTAGCAATAGTCAAAAATCTTTAGACGAGATTAACGATTTGTCCGATATCCAAAGATAGTGACGAGTACCTACGAATCATAGTGATTCAGAGACTTTGGCATATTTTTATCGTATGGTAAAAAGAAGCTTATAGCTTATTATGTTGTCAAACTTGTAAAGAACACATTGTTCAATAGTAAATATTGCGTATTCTTTGCTTTAAGGCAACAAATGCTTTCACGTCGTATGCATTAATGCTGAAATTGCGAAAAATGCTTGCTTAGAAAAAGAAGAGAGTTTTCGATTAGAGTTATTAATCCTTTTAGCAGCTCATTTCACTTATTTTATTTTCTTTGCATGATTTATCCTAAGTGTAAATGGTCAGATCAAATGACGAATGGAAAAACAAGAACATTATCGTTTTCATTTTAAAATGTGCCACATCAATGAAGTCTTTTTATTGTCTGCAAAAGAGGTTTGTGGGAAAGCAATTGGCAAGAAGGAAATCAATGATACCACAATTCAAGATCGTCTTTTATATATGTTTTAATTTGAGGCTCTTAAGCAAGTTAGATTAAGTAACCAAGTTGGATATTACATGGCCAGATTGCTATGAATTTTCGTTAGATTTTACAATGTTATATAATTAAATATTTTTTTGTCTTCAAATGACTAACGATCTAAAACTGAAGGCGAATGAAATTTAAATTTGATTTCCATACATCATGTTTGTTATGTAAAATATTCAATAAATTTTAACATGTGTAATTTAGTAATACATAGCATTTCTTCAAGTATAACAATGTATAACAATACATATAACTATATATAACAATATAATATGGATGTTATGACTTGTAACGCAATTAAGGAGTTGCTCGATCTGTGCTCAAAATCCGTTGTACTTTAGCGTTATATAAGTCTTTCGTATGAGCTCCGAGCGTGAGTTCAATGTACTAGAACGCTATTAAGTTTATGTATGTCACTACAGTACCACTGCAAAGGTAAAAGATTGATACGCATAAAAAGAACAACTTATTGAATTGTGGAAATTGGTAATATTTGAATAAAATGACACTTTTATGTGAGGTTGTGACTATTTCCTAGTATTTCTTTTGTTGCAGCTTTGAAATTGTTAAAAGAAAATCTGTGTACGTTGAGGTTAATGATGACGAAGTCAAAGTTGTTGAATTTTTGTCTATTCAGGCTTAGTTGTGTTGCATTTTTCTTTAGACAAAAGACGGTATGTTTTAAGCCACAAGCTTCCATTTATGAATTTTAGTCTTTTAAATACTTAGCCAGATCTGTCTCTTTCAGTCATTTGTTACTTGTTACGTCAAGATTTACATTCTCAGTTTATTTCCATTGATTCTATTATTGTAGTGTGTATCATTGATGTGTATGGAATTCAAAGTATGAATACTGCCGAGGGACTCCAGCTTAATTGCCTTCATGCATGTTTCGTTATTTTAATTGAGTTCTTGTTTATTTTACATTTAAATATTTTTTAGCCACTAATCATTCGTAAATCGTTATCCTATGAATATTTATCCATGCAGTAAGTTGATCAGTGTTACAGTTAATTACGTTAGTATTCTGTGCATTCTCTGTGACGATGGTGTTAGTATCAGAGTTGTAAATTGACCAGTAAGTAAACCTTTAATTTTTTCGCAAAAGTTGGTCTTAGTCGTAAAAATTCTACCTGAATTTGCCTGTTAAAAGCTTGATTGCCCTAATCTGAAGACAGGATGCATTGTATTCCATTGTGTCAGTTATCAGCAATATGCTTCACTCTTGCTAGCATTGTTCGTTTTAACGAGTGGTTTATGATATATTGGTTGTTAATAAGTATGGGGCGCGAAGTGTTTCTTTATTAATTACGGAATTTTTAATGTTTAATTTCATTATTTATTAAATAACCAAACGTAATAGGTTGGTTATTTCAAATAACCAATTTGCCAAAACATGGTTATTTTACAAATAACCATTTTTTGGACTAGCATAAGTTTGGTTATATCAAATAATCAATTGACAAAATTTGGTTATTTAATAAATAATGAAATTAAACATTAAAAATTCCGTAAATAATAAAGAAACACTTCGCGCCACATAGACGACCGTCGTCATGGATTTACCTCACTGATCTGATAATAGACTGGATATAGCTTCTACAGGTAGCAAAATGAAGCCTAATTATAGTAGCGAGAGACTTGCCGAGCGGAAATCGAATTCGTGTGATAAAAATTAATGCCCAACATAAAGTTCCGATTAGAGCCATAGAAATAGCACATGCGAGAATATATTTTGTTTCATTGCCAATGCAAGATAGTTCACTGTTCGCTTTCCAATTTCTGAGGCTGTTATGATCTAGTATACGTTTCAATTCTTTAGAAATGAGACGAGTTACTTTTTTTATCATTCTTTCTTTATGTTGAGAGATTGTTGACATTTTATTTTTGCTGTAACTTTATTTTTTCATGAGCAAAGTACTACTGATGCTTAAACAAGACAAGTTCATTTAGTTTCTTTCGCACTTTATCTTTAGTTTCCATTTTTGTAGTTGTTTTTCTCAAATGGTATAGTCGCACCTTGAATATTCGAAAACCCATGTTTGTAAACCCGGCATACATTTCTATTAAATGAAGATATGACATTCATACATTTCTATAGTAATTTGTATCTCGCCGTGGTACCCGGAAGTGGATTTTGCATATATAATTAGGCTTCACTTTTGCTTCCTGTAGAAGCTATATCCAGTCTATTATCAGATCAGTGATTTACCTGCAAACGTTTGTTCATAATTCCCGACACTGGCTCAGTTACATCATTTGGCAGGAAGACGTTTTACAACCAAGACAAATTTAAAAAGTAAGTTTTATCAATAAATATCGACTTAAGAAGAATTATAGGATATACAAAATACTCTAGTTTAACTTTAGAGACATAGTAAAAATATGAAATGCTCATGGTTTAGAATAAGTCTTTCTTATTTCCTCCGCCACGTGTTTATTCGTTTTTTAGTTTGATATGACAAAACAGACGATACATGAACAATTTTATTCATATGGCTTTGAATTGGTCATTGGAAATGTATTGCATTCCCATAATTTTCTTAAGACAAACATCGTCCATCAAAAAGGGCATTTTCACGACTTTAAACCGCCATAAAAATGGAATAATTTGATCAAATCAAAAACTTTTTTACTGATACACTAGAAATCGCACTTAAATTTAATATCGCCAATGATATATGGCCCGTAGATGTAAAATTTGTTTATGTAGCACATAAAAATCGTAAAATCACATGTAAGCCCCTGTCAAACATGAATAGCCAGGCGTTGTGTATAGTATGATGTTGTTGTATATACAAACAAGAAAAATACAATTATTTCTCAATTGATATAAATTATTTGAATGAATCCAAACAATTCATTTTATTTAAGGCTGTAAAACTACATGTGTGGTGTCTCAAACATGATGAGTATTGTATGGGGCCATTTGTGCTATAGACAAGAGGCATTAAAAAAGTCGGGGCTGTTTAAATAAGTCCACTTCTAAAAGTGTTTTTAAATTTTTTTTTCACTTTTTTTGGTTACATATGGTTACGAATGAATTGGTTACATACAAACCTATTGTGAGAAAATGAGACATTATTCATTATCAAGAATTGGTTTACTAGCTCAATGCATTATCTCTATGGGTTGGTAAATATGCAAAAGTGCATAAAGTTGCAATTTGTTTGTGATTATTTCTTCAAAGCTCAAGGAAAACTGAATGAATTTATGTGTAAATTGTTGGTGATTGATATGAAGGTATCAAGCACTTGTGATATGTTGAAAATGAAGACTTATTTAGTTGAGAAATTTTAAGCATTTTTTATGTGCTATTATTTTGTTTACCAGTAATTATATCTAACTTTATTAAATCAAGTATTTGCTTATTTAATTTCATGCCCATTTTCCTGAAAACATTCCTCTGTTGTGAAAAAATACTTTGGAAAAATTTGCACCCTTGCTGGCCAGTGTCGGCCAAAGATCGTATTTTCACATAAAGGTGCACCTGATTTTTGTATTATTGAAAAGAGAATTCCTTACATAAGTTCACCTAAAGCTATTTTTCTTACTAATAGTTTTCATTAAAACATTATTTTGTTATGCAATCAAAAAAAACCTCAACTATCTGCAAATGGGCTCCAAAAAAGTATATAATTGTTGGTTTCTGTTATTATCATGCTAAATTCATGCGGACATAGTCACTGAATGAAAATGTATCTGCAATGAGTATTTTTAATGTTTGTTTACAATTACTCATTACTGTCTATCTAGTTTGCACTAATATTGAGCTGTACAGTTTTCTGGGAGAGGTCTCACTGGTCTGTTTGCAACATTGAAGGTGAGTTATTTTATTTGTCCGAGAAATTAGGCTATGCAAAACAAGAGAGTGGCAGATATCATGTCTGTGATGACACTCTATGCACTGCCTTTTTATCATATTTCTTATTTACAAAAAGTTCAAACCTTTTTTTAATCCTCCACAAATAATAACAATTCTGTTGTTTGTATCAGGAGTTCAAAGTATCATGATAAAACAAGTTGTCAATCAATGAATTCAATGTTTCAAAATAGTAATATTGTTTAAACAGAATTTAAATATCAGGTCTTGAAGCATAGATAAATGAGATCAAACATAACTCATATTTCATTGCAATTGCCGGATGGTCTCATTAAAATTGCAAACTGTTAAATTTATGCATACTATAAAATTCTTATCCCATGTTAAAGTGACTGCAACTCCTTTTGTTTAAAGCTTTTTGCGTCTCCTGTTTTACAGGCTTCCCACGTGTACGCAAGCGTACCTATTTTTGTTAATGCATTTTGTCAAATTCACAGAATGTCCGAAGTTTTTTCATGAGCAGTTGCAAGGTCAACAAAATGGTGACAGATACGATGAAGTAAGGATTTTTTCTTGCTGCCCAAGCCATCATCCAGTATGATATAAAGAAAATTCCAGTTGAATAATTTAGGAAACAGTCCATTCATAAACAATTTGTGTTTTGCTATTGGTAGATTTACGCAAGATTTATTGAATTAATGTTTATTTATAATAACTGTTTATTTGTAGAGGATACTTTTTTCAAACACATTTCAACTTTACGATTGTGAGCATACTGAAATGCAGTCATTTACGAAATCTGCTCAGGGAAATCTCCATAAAGCATGCTTAAAATTTGAACATTTACCAGGAAGAATTCGATTAGAATGATAATAGGAAAGTAAAAATAGACAAATTCTCGGTATCCCTAGTATCGAATGAACAAAGATCTTTTTCTTGTTATTTAAATAGTTGCATCTTAAATAGTTATGCAATGAAGTGTGTCATTGACACGCGTAATATCACATTTTTAAATGAATTCTTGCATTTTAGATGAACGGACTATTCTTAATTCTAATACTGTATATCTTACTTGCCAATACCCTTAAGGTTTTTTTCTTCTCATTAGTTGTTGCATGGTAGCGCCTTTGTGATTCGGTTGCCCAAATTTAGAATCTCCTGTGTTTTTTTTTTAAATGTAGTCGACTGCAATCAATGGTTAATCACAAAAATTAAACAGTTATACTATAAAACGTTCCATTTGCTGTGATTGCAATAACGTTCCATTTGCTGTGATTGCAATCATTCTGTCTGAGGATGACTTTGAAATAAAGTCGAAAATTTACAGTTTACTTCTCGTCTTGTTTTGATTCATATTTTGCAATCTCAAGATGTCTTGTTTCTTCGGAATTTGTTTCAAATTATACTTTTTCAAATTGTCGGCTGGTCATGGTTTTCGGATTGTGCTTGATTTATGCTTTTAAATTTCTTGGTAGAGATTTGTACGGAAAAAAGTATTTTCCAATTACGTTCACATTGACAAAGACCCCATTGTCTTACTGAGTTTAAGGTGCCCCTGATTGTGAAAGCTTCATCATAATTGGTGAAAGTAAACCATTGCACTTAATATGTTTTAAATCAAGTTTATAAAGATGAAACTTGACGATAGTCTTTTCTATACCTTGTTATAGCTACCTTGTTGCTGTGACAATTTTTTTGTGATTTTGTTGTTTTGTTGGGTAATCATAATTTTTAGAATCTGTGAATAATAAGCTTTCCCCTAAGATGTAGCTACTTTGCTACTATTATGATAAATATTTTTGTTTCGACAATAATTTGTAAAAAAAAAACCCTTATTTGGCGTGCATCAAATGATTATCGTAGATTTTTGACGATTAACTTCATATAGTTGGATGTTTTAAAACATTGATACAAGTAACGTTTAACAAGGATGAGTACAATTTCTGAAAATTTTCTTCCTGCGAATGTTTAATTTTTATAAATTTTCATCTATGTTAAGGCTAATAATCACGAAAGCTGTTTTGTTGACGTACGGCGTTGAAGGTTATGATGTTATATGTAATTTAAACGCCTTAATGATTGAATATTAAAATTGTGCAAGAATTCTATTTGCTATTTCAAGATGCTATGGGTGGTCCCCTTGGCCCCCTTTTTGCCAACATATTCATGTCTTTCCATGAACAAAACTGGCTGAAAAACTGTCCCCATAAATTCAAACCCGTTCTCTACAGACGATATGTCGATGATTGCTTCCTCCTTTTTAAATCAGTTGATCACGTTCCTCTCTTTTTAGAATACATCAACCATCAACACCGCAACATCACTTTTACCTCTGAGACGGAAAATAATGGACGACTACCGTTTTTAGACATTGACATTTACCGCTCAAATGACAAATTCACCACCTCTGTATATCGTAAACCCACATTCACCGGTCTTTTCACAAATTTTAACAGCTTTATCCCACTTTCTTACAAACGCAACTTAATCTCTGGCCTATTACACCGCTTTTTCAAACTCTGCTCTAGTTATGAGAGTTTTCATGCCAAATTGAAACCACCAGAAAACTACTCAAACTCAATTGCTATCCAACTAATATATTCGACCACATTGTCCGTCGTTTCCTTGCTACAAAATTCGAACAGAAACCACCTGTCCTTAGTGTCCCAAAGAAAATAGTGTATTTCTGGCTCCCATTCACCGGCTGTCACTCGTTACAAATATGCACACAAATCAATCGTCTCTACAACGCTGCTTTCACTCATCTCAATGTCAGATTCGTCTTTCGTACTCCCACACGAATCTCTTCATTTTTTCCCGTTAAGGATAAAATTCCCAAGTCTCTGAGATCTGGTGTTGTTTATTTATACACGTGTCGATGCTGTTCAGCGTCGTATGTGGGTCAAACCACACGCCACTTACACACCAGAATCTCGAAACACTTGGGGATCTCTCCTTTGACAGGAAAACGCTATACCAACCATTAACATCACCGAATCATAAGGCACAACATTCACTGGGACTAGGAAAAATGCATTACTTACAGTACTGACTATAGACAACGGCTTACATTAGAAAGTTGGTAGAGCAACTTGGAAAAAACTACCCTGAACAGATCACAGCAATTACCGGCACCTTACAAATGACTTATTCACAATACAAACAAACGATCAACTAAAAACATTACACTTCACACTAATTCACAATGACAATACACAATTGACACCCACACATTACAAATAAAAACATCACAACTAAAAACATTTCACTTCACACTAATTCATAATGACAATACACATTTCCTGTACACACAATACAATGACGTAAGAACCAGATAACAAATATTACTCCTCATTTGACTCTGAAAAAGACTACCGCTAAAGTTGTCGAAACGTCAGTCAACAACAACAAAAACAGTTCTTCTCAGGACTATACCAACCTGGACGATCTACATTTAGAAACATGTATCAATTACATTGTTATAAAAAATGCAATGCACCTAAGTTATCATTCTAGTATTTATAATTCATAAATCAATAGTTTGTGATTTCTCAGGCGTAGAAATCCATTTAGTTTGCGTCTGAAACTCAATGTTGTGACGTAGTCGTACTGACTCGTACAATAGAATGCTAAAACGACAAATTTCAAACTGGCAACTAACTTTTGTTGATAGATAACTTTACGAATTTTTGTCGAAGTCACAAAACTATTTGTTCAAGTTGATGGGAGTATGTTCCTTTTTTTAATACTTTTTATTGTCTACTTATCACATACAAAAAATGGGTAGTGTAGATGGTTGTCAAATAAAAAGTGGCACATGTCAAGGAGCGAAGTAGATCCCAGGCTTCACATAAAACAAAACATGGCGATTAGTGAAAAAAACTGGCCCGATCAAGTGGTGAGATTGTTGCTCGATACTGTCAGAGAAAGAGAGAGTATTTGGAATACCAAAAGTAAGTAAGCATTACAACAAGCAATACTGCAAGCAATCAAAGTTGAACTGCCAAACGTTGATTTGCCAAGCATCAAAGGTGAGTGATAAGATTATAATGGAGTAGAAAGAATTGCATTTTAACGATGTATAAACATTGTTTATGCTCTATGGTTTGCATTAAATCGCAAAAAAAATATGTCTTGTCCTGCTTACATGTCAATGTGTTCAAACTTTTAACTCAGCTTGTTGGCATGCCAAAATTGGTAAAGGAAAACATATCCATCTGTAGCTTTATATGCTATTATTTGGACTCAAATAAGTCTATTGTAATAAAATTTCTGGCTTAAACTTTTAGCAAAGATACAGAGCTTAAGACATTTTATAGAGAAGAAGTTAGAAAAATAAGAAAAAGCCAATGTATAGGCAGTGGGGCTAGTGAAGTTTATGTATCAAAATGGACGTTTTTTGACCAGTGCAATTTCCTGGATGAAGTTATATCACACAATCGTCAAGTATTTACAAATGCTATTGATGAAGGTTTTCCACCAGACAGAGAAAACCAATTGAATGATTCAATTATTGATAATGAAGATACAGGAAGTGAATGTAGTTTTATTTCAAGCTCAAAGAAGAGAAAACAATCACATAGTCCATTTCTTGAGTCACAGCATCTGGCTTGAACCAGTTGGCAAAGTCAGCAACGTCTGCTCCTGAAGACTAGTGGGATATTTTTGGTAAAGATGTGGCACATGCAATGCATGGTCTGGCAGATAAAGATATACAAAGACGTATCAAGTTTGCCATACAATTGACTATTTTTCAGGCCACAGAGCCCCCACGGGCTCAATAACAACCATTTTATTAAGCAGACCAATCAATAAATAATCAGTTTCAACAACCATCTTATTAAACTAGGGTATTTTAAATGAACATGCTTCAATGATTAAACTTCTACATCAAAATAACTTATACATTTGTTTTTGAGTTTACTTTACTGGATTTATATATATATAAAGGACAACATCAACCACCAAAACAAGTTTTCATATATTTTTTATATTCAAATGAGGTAAATTTATTTCTTTGTTATAATTTTGTAGTTTGTCATTGTCCATTGAAAATCAACTGCCCCTTCTTCAAAGAAATAGTCTTTAAGAGCATTTCTGATTTGTCTTGCATGAATTGATGATGGGCAGGCACTGGCATATGGCTGGATGTCACATACTTCATTTTCATTGCCTAATTGTGTTCTCCAAAAATCATTCACAACATTTCCTACTTCATCTTCAAAGTCCATACATCCTGGATGTGTGTAAAACTGGTCCTTCTGATTTATCAAAAGGTTATGCAGTGCCATACAGGCCCTCACCACCTGCATTGCATTTGGAACATCCAACTCCAATGTTCTCAAAAGACATCTGAATTGACTACACATCAATCCAAATGCATTTTTGACAATTCTTCACGCTCCTGAAAGTCTATAGTTAAAAACTTTTTCATCACCTATTGCAGTCTGGTGTGGATATGGTTTCATTAGATTTTCATTCAAAGCAAATGCCTCATCTCCAAGCAGAAAGTAAGGTATAGGCAATAATGTATCTCTTAGTTCTTCAGCTTGTGGGAAATAGCATGTCTTGCATATGTTTTTAAGGTGACTGTCTTTAAAAATTCCTCCATCTGACTGGCTGCCAGGGGCTCCAAGATCAAGTGAGATGAATTTAGCATTTGCATCTGCAATAGCCAAGAGGACTATGCTAAAATGTTTCTTATAGTTAAAGTACTCAGAGGCTGAGTTTGGAGGTGCACACAAGTTGATATGTTTACCATCAATGGTGCCAACTGCATGGGAAAGTGCCATTTGCACTTAAATTCATCAGCAATGTGTAACCATTGTTGTTTTGTTGTGGGTGGCTTTAAATATACTTTCTTCAGCACATTATACAAAGCTTCACAGACCTCAGGTACAATTTTTGAAATGGATGAAACTGATATTCTGAAACTGTACATCAAATCTTTGTATGAGCATCCTGATGCTAAGATCTTTAATGTTACACACAAGCGATCATGAGCAGATATAGCATCTCTCATAGTGGTGTTTTTCTTAGCAATGAATGGTGTTAGCTTTTCACATAGCTCATCAAACAAAATGGAATCCATCCTTAAAAGTAGTAAAAATTATAATTTGTAAATAAAAGTAAAGAAAATAAGAAAATTTCATTATTAAAAAAAGAACGTAAAATTTGAATTGATTGTACAATCCACTGACTAGCTTAATTTTGAAGAGTGCATGAATAAAAAGACTATCACATTTCTTAACTTACCGAAACAAATTTCTAAATTCATCATGGTCAGTCACTCGGATCTCTTGAATTAAATTTTGTGCTAACCCTTGTGCGTATCGGCGCTGCGCAGTTTTCCACAGTTTTACCCACCATCGTCGTGACTTTCTTTTTTTTTCACTTCGTGCACCATTAGAGACGTAATAATAGCTACCGTTTTTCGGCCTTGGTCATCGCCATTTTTGCACAAACATTGCATTAAAAGTACGTCGTAAAATGGAGTATCGTCATGTAACTGTTCATTATTACAATGGGCGCAAAACATCAATCGCTATGCGAACAGATATATTTACATATATTTTGTGTCGTTTACACGGTCAAATGTATTTGTCGCATAAAAATTTTCATATTAAAATTGCTCGTGTAAACGGGCCTATAAAGAGAGAAAACTGCGTGTCAGTTTTTAGTTTAAATACTAATGATTGAAATTTCTAAATAAACATGGCAATTTATTAAACGTTTCTATTTCAGGGAATTTCATTGGTAGACGACCGTCGTCATGGATTTACCTGCAAACGTTTGTTCGTAATTCCTGACACTCGCTAAGTTACATCATTTGGCAGGAAGACGTATTACCACAAAGACAAATTTAAAAAGTAAGTTTTATCAATAAATATCGACTTAAGAAGAATTATAGGATATACAAAATACTCTAGTTTAACTTAAGAGTCATAGTAAAAATATGAAATGCTCATGGTTTAGAATAAGTCTTTCTTATTTCCTCCGCCACGTGTTTATTCGCTTTTTAATTTGATATGACAAAACAGACGATACATGAGCAATTTTATTCATATGGCTTTGAATTGGTCATTGGAAATGTATTGCATTCCCATAATTTTCTTAAGACAAACATCGTCCATCAAAAAGGGCATTTTCACAACTTTAAACCGCCATAAAAATGGGATAATTTGATGAAATCAAAAACTTTTTTACTGATACGCTAGAAATCGCACTTAAATTTAATATCGCCAATGATATATGGCCATTGAGTTCTATAAGACCTGGAGGGGAAACGTTAACAAAATTACTATAAATTATTAGTGCACGGCCGCGTGGTCAAAAACATGGCGGATTTTGGTTGTCAAAGTCAGCGGAAAGACGCGGGCTCATAAAATAAAATTTTTTTCGTCTACCCGAATTTGACAACCACAATTGCGAGTGTATAAAATATCAATGCCAAGCACAAAAACTTTTATCTATAAGAAAAGTGTTATGTCAGAGAAACCAATGCACTTTAATTTAAGAAATTGTATTTTCAATGGGAAAGTAATGTAGTTCTGTTCAGTAGTAGATCCATGGTTTTCAATGACAATCCAATTTCTAATATGTTCACTCAAAACAGAACCAGCAACATGATTATAGAATTTCTGAATTTTGTTCTTTTGCTTTCTTAGTTCAAGATAATTTCTTCATAAGTTCTCATTAGATTTATCAGAATATCATAATACTTTATAAGACACCCAGAATCAATCCTACCAAAAAAAAACTCAAAAAAATTACATACCTACTTATAATATATTTCCAGTCGACTTAAGTCGTAGGGGTAAGCTAACTTTTTCTAACTTCTTTTTGGACATTTTAACTAAGATTTACCCATCTATTCAAGAAAGACAGTTGCACCAAGCTGTTCACAAACAGTCCAAAACACAAGTAATGCGCATGGGATTATGCATTAAAGCTTAACGACACATTGACAGTGTAAAGAATGCCATTTGATATTTCTAATATAGCCAGGCGTTGTGTATAGTATGATGTCGTTTTATACACAAACAAGAAAAATACAATTATTTCTTAATTGATATAAATTATTTGAAAGAATCCAAACAATTCATTTTATATAAAGCTGTAAAACTACATGTGTGGTGTCTCAAACATGATGAGTATTGCCTCTACATCAGGACCTAGTAAGTAATGGAATTTTATATGCAAATATTTACACAAATGTAATCTTTATTGTCTTTTGAAATGTTAAGTAAAAACAAGAATTAAATGTAACCATTGAGATTTGTTTATATCTTCCTTATTCACATACTTTTGTTAATGGTCAAAAATGTGAGATGTAATGAAGAGTGAAATAACTCAGCAAGTATTCCTTTTATTTTGCTATGATGTATTAATCGTGTAATGTAATGCATTAATTTCCAGCTTCTTACGAAAAGATGTCTTTGCCATCTCCCATGAGTGACTATGACTATGAAGACATTGAGAAAACTCCTTCTACAGCAGTACTTGGTAAGAAACTGTATTTTGTTAGCAAACATTTGCACAAACATCTTTACATTCCCTTTAAAAGTCAAACACAAACAATTAAGAGTCATTTATATCATGCGTATCATTCATACGTTTGTAAAGGGTCAGATAAGAGAGTTTTAGAATTTGTCATCATGCTGTAATGTTATTTAATTGCATTGCAAAAAATTAATTTGATTTATCTATTAGATGATAATAAGAGTGAAGACATGATTGGTGTTTCGCCTTCCACATCAAAACCAGGTTAGCAAAAGAATTTTGTTTAAAAACATTTGCCCAAACATTTCCATGTTTTTCAACGCTAAATACAAACAATAATTTATAACCTGATAAATTAATTTTAAAAGGTATCGTTATACGTAGCCAACTAAAATCTTTTAATTCAAAAATAATGCAAATGTTGTGGATCAAAATCATGTGAAAATTTTAAACTTTGCAAACAGAAATTTGATCAATATGTATAGAAAGTGAAAACTGGCTATGATGCTAACAGTAATTTGTGAAAACCATCATGATCAACGTGTCAGTTACATGTATACGTTACATGTACACAAATTAACTTAAATAGAATATTGTTGAAAACATCCTTTTAAAACATATTATTTGATTATTGATAGCCAATAATTCTGGTCAAAAACTCAAGCTTTTCAGAAGATAACCTTAAAAACATTAGGTTCTTTAATTCTCCGAACTCTTTTCACCTCGACAGATGCTTTCATCTTTGATTTTTCAATCTCAATGTTTCCGCATTTAAAGTGAAAAGATCCTGACGTCCCTCAACGTCCTTTGAACTAAATATCCCTAATCCGTGTGTTTGGGAGCAGGGAAATACGATGTTAATACAAAATAAACTGAAACAAAGGCAAACATGTTGTTATGTTATTATTTAGTAGCTAAATATAAAAGTCTGTTCACCTTAACGGGCAAAACGGTGTAGGTATTTCAAATCTTGTCTAATAGCCACATTTTTTTGATGTGCGTATAATTAGAAAATTAAATTGCTTCTTGATACATTGATTTATTCCTTTCTAAATAGTCTACTTTACTTTTTAATTGAAGACTTGCTGTCTCAACCATGGAAATGTTATGATAAATCAATAATGCACCAGCAAAAGTTCAGAATGATGGAAGAATATGGGAAGAAAAATCCAAGAAAAGTTAAACTTGTAAATGGTGTAAAGGTTATTTGTTCTGAAGAGTTTTTGCTTGGTAAAGGAAGTGATGGAACTCGTGTTTACCTTGGACTCGGAAAAGATGGTTACGGAAAAGCAGTAAAACGATTGCTTCAAGATAACTGCGCGGAGTTAGCCAAACGAGAAAAAGATATTTTGAATGAGTTTAATGCAAAGCGTTCAAATTATGTTGTGAATTATTGGCATCTTGAAGAAGAACCAGGCACAGATTATTTGTATTTGATATTAGATTTGTGTGAAGAATCGTTAGAAAGTTTTGTGAAATCTTCTACTTTGCAATATCTTCAAAAGCACTTCCTACAATTCTTATGCAGATTTTAAAAGGTTTAGCTGATCTTCACAGCGGTGAGCATCCTATTCTTCATCGGGATTTAAGACCCTCGAACGTTCTTCGAGATGTACAAGGAAATTTTTTAGTCGCTGACTTTGGTATAAGTCATATGTTATCTGATGAAACTTCGACACATTGGAGCATACAAAGAGGAGCTAAATATTGGATAGCTCCAGAGTCATATAACGCATCAGATGATACAATTAATAAAGTTCGTTACAAAAAAGAGTCTGACATTATGGTAAGTTCTTGAAGTAGAACTAGAGGTCCAACTACAGGTCAATGTTGTTTTTGCATTTGAATGTTGTATTTGGTAGGGATATCATTATCACTGCCACTGATATCATTATCACTTTTAAATAAAATTTTTGTTTACCTCCATTTTACAGTCATATAGTGGCGAAATACAAGTTGTACTGTATAAAATATAAGAATATGTATATGTATGATAATGAATTGTTGTTATTGCCTTATTGGTTTCACGATTGTATGTCTCTCATTTAGATTGCTCTAAAAAATTATGGCTACGACTCTTAATTGGAGAACATTTTGCTGATTTTTTTCGAACTGAACTTGTATTTTTGCAAGTAACAAATAAATTAACTCCATTCTTCATTGAAAATAGAATGCCGGAATGGTGGCTTATTATGTTGCAACAAAGGGGAAACATCCTTTTGGAATTGAACGGCATAGATTGGACAACATTTTGAAAGGAAACCCAGTTGGCTTGGACGAAATCAAGGATGCCACGCTCAAAGACCTTTTATCGTGGATGCTACAGCTAAAACCGGAAGACAGACCATTGGCCAACGAAGCGTTAAAACACCCTTATCTACAAACCGATAAGGAGAATTTCGATTTTCTGTGTGATGTTGGGAATGAACCAGAAATAAAGACATCATCTCCACATTCTCTTCCCTCAAATCTTCGTAAGCAGTTGAATCTTTCAATAAATTGGATGGACCGTATCGATCCTGAATTCTTTAATCATTTCAATAAAGTATCCGACTCTACATGGTTAGGTTGCCTAAGATTTTTACGAAACGTTCGCCAGCATTGGCATGATAAACCTCGTCCACAACTGTCATCATGTGTTAAAGATGGAAACTATCAAGAGTATTTTCTTCAACTTTTTGAGGAACTGCCTTATCTAGTTCACAGAGCCATAAGATTGAGTGCCTGGAAGGCAAGACCTGATCTAGAGAAACATTTTCCAAGTAAGACACAGAAATGAGTTTTCATTTTTGATGGCCAAGCTATAAATTAGGGGTCCATGACACTATATTTGTTATTTTCACTCTAGTTCTCCTCTTCATTTACTGTACTTAATGCATATATGTTTTGAATTCTGTATATTTCCATTGCAAACATTTTTTAGACAGTGAACATCCTGTAAAACTTAAAGAAGGCAAGAGAAAGAAAAGCGAAGGTGTTATTGACTACGCTGATCTTAACGGTAAATAGCTATGTAACAACAAACTAATGCTGTGTACGTGTCACTTTTCTTAAAATATTCTACCAAAAACCGTAATCTCTTCACTTGTATCTGGTGCATCGTTTTCTAATTTTGTGCAACTGAAAATAACAGTTCAAGCATGTGTGATAGTACTAGCAATAGTCAAAAATCTTTAGACGAGATCAACGATTTGTCAGATATCCAAAGATAGTGAAGAGTACCTACGAATCATGGTGATTTAGAGACTTTGGCATATTTTTATCGTATGGTAAAAAGAATCTTATAGCTTATTATGTTGTCAAACTTGTAAAGAACACATATGCAATAGTAAATATTGCGTATCTTTTGCTTAAGTCAGCAAATGCTTTCACGTCGTATGCATTAATACTGAAATTGCGAAAAATGCTTGCTTAGAAAAAGAAGAGAGTTTTCGATGCAGTACCAATGCAGTAAACCAAATCTTTAATGTCATAATTATGTCAACAACAACTCGCTCGTAATGCAACTCGTCTTTGCATGTTGTCAATCACATTTTTTCCTAATTTTTGATCGTTTAGCTCTACAAAAAAAAATAGCTCAGGATTCGGGAAGTTATGAACGTTCGGAAGCTTCCAATTTTTAGATTGTGAGCATTTTATAAGATTTGATAAAAATTGAATACTTGGTTTATACAGATGTGCCAACTTTTCAATGAGGGTGACATGATGCAGTTAAACCAAAAAAAATCGAATTAAATATCAAAAAATTTATCACACCAGTTTAACTATTGTGAATTACCACACAGTTAGCATGGCACACACACATAACTTTTCGAAGCCCCTGCGGTTGTATGTATTGTTTTACATGCAAGTGTTTATTATATATTTCTGGGCTTGTTTTCTTGTTGTACAGACAGAAAATCCCAGAAGAAAAGAGGTGTCTGCTCGAAATATCAAGGTGTATGTAAGAACCAAACCAAGTCAATGATATGAGCCTGAGAGTATTTTCCAAAATTGTTTTTGTGAATCGATTTAATGCCTTTTGTTCATGTTTTGTACTCCAACTTTCTAGACTAAGTTATTGGTTAAAAGAACGATTGTTAGCAATGCATTCAGCGGCTTTACCAGTCAATATTATGCTTTTAAACATAAAAATATAACAACCATCGCCAGCAACACTTCACTAAAGTGCATCCGTTAGCAAAGAAAGGGTTGTCTAATGAGGATGTGGATATTATGTACATTTTCATTGCTAAAAAAGAAGATTTTCAGCATTTTGGTATAAATTGTATTGTATGATGCAAATGAGCAGCTTTAAAAATTCCAACTGCTAGCCCACTGCAGGGCGTTCGTAGCGAGTAGAATGAGACTTATTTATTAAATTCAGGATTTGAACAAAGTTATTTTCCAGAATGCAGTCTATGTTTAAGGTTTTAGCATGTTTGTAGATTCCGGAGACTCTGTAGTATGTTCATAAAAAACTGAAGGAAGTCACGGTCCATTCCTATCTCGAAATACGTTTTTCTAAACAAAATTAAAATCGACTAAAACAGAACATCTCTCCTTGTACCTAGTGCATGGTATTTCATCTGTCGTTATATTTTATAAGTGTTTGGGATTCTTCCAATTCATTGACTTGTTATCAATTAGGATCATGGGTTGAGACGAAAATCTTCACGACCATAATTAAAGATAACTTAGGTAAGCCAGCTGGTAAAGGCCGTTGAGTCTTTAGTGGTCTGGGGACAAGTAAGATGATTACATGAATCTTAATTTTTTTAAATGGAAACATCGCTTTTAAATGTTGGTTAAATGTTAGCAATAATATAAATAAATATTTACGAAATGAACTTACATGAAAATAGTTTTATAACCATTAAGCTTGTTAAGTAAAGGAGAAATACATTTTTATAGGTTTTATTATCTGTGGATTTTACAATGATTCACAGTTTGTTTATCATCAACCATTCAGGGTGAGTCAGTAGTGACAGTATGTATTGGTTTTATATTTGTTTGCTTTCAAAGCTCTTCTGTTGGTTTTGTACGTATCAGCTTGTGATTTTGTGAGAAGTACTTTACAATTATTTGAATGAGGTAAAATGAGATTAGTTTCAGTAAGATATTAAAGGAAAGCTTGAACAATGTCAGAAGCCAGTGAAGGTAGATTATGAGAAGTATCATGTGACAGGATTAATACCCAGAAAAAATAAAGAATGTCATAAAAGTCGTGAGATATTACCTGATATCTGTAATTTTAATAGTATTGAAGTCAGTTAGATGATGCCATTTTGATGATTTCAGCTTCCTCAATTGTTTAGTTATCACAACTTTACACCAAATGGGTTACTGTGAGTCATTTGGTCATATGATGTTTTTCATGTTTATTTAGGGATATATTTCTGGAAAAACATTGGAGAAGTGTTTTGGGATGCTCTGTTTGTGATTTATTCTTCGAAGCTCAAGGAAAGGTAAATGAATATATGTGTAAATGTTGTTTGTGCTTGTTTGGTTGAGAAGTTTTAAGGTACTTTCATGAACGGTTTTCATGTTATATTTGTCTGACAAAAATGCTCCTAAACAAATTAAATATCATCTTTTATGTTCAGGCTACTTCTCCAGAAGACATTCCTCCTGTAATTGCAACAGGATTCAGTTATCTCATCAGTATATTTCGCCATGATCTCTTCTTTGTTTCTGTTGTTGAAAATGAAGGTTTGTGTTTATATTAAGGTTAGTTAATGTTTTAATAATGTTTATTTTGAATCAATTGCCTCTAATCCAATCAAGAGATTCACTGGTAGTTTTAATTTAAAAAGTATGCATTACATTGCAAAGAAGTGTTATCACTCAACAAAGGCATTGCATTAGGCATTCCTAGTGGTAGATAAAAATAATTTAGCCTTCATATCATCAACATGTGGTGAACACTTTCATGATTATTATTATTGATGAATTGAAAACATTCCTTTCCAGTTCCACCTTTGTTTGTGATTGAATTTCTTCATCGAGTGGTTGACTTGATCAAAGAATATTTCTCTGACTGTACTGAAACAATCATTAAAGAAAATTGTGTCATTGTATATGAGGTTTGAGATTAGTATATTTTGTAGAGAATCCAGCTGTTTGATAGATGAATTTCAATTTTTTTCTGTTGTGTGTGATGTAAAATATGGTATTATATCTTTATATTCTTCAGTTATTGGAAGAGATGTTGGATAATGGATTCCCTCTTGCTACAGAGTCAAATGTTCTTAAAGAGTTGATAAGACCTCCTAGTATAGTTAGAAATGTTGTTAATGAAGTGACTGGAGACAGCAAGTAAGAACCTTCCTTATAGTAAACATATGAGCCATGTTTTTATGTAGTGATCTTTATGTTGTTCATATAAGGATCAGATATAAATATAAAGCAAATCCGTAAAACCACTAAACATTTCTATATTTGCATTGTTTTTTATATGCAACTTACTACAATATTTAGTTAAATTTGTTTTAGTTTACACATTTATGATCATTCTACATATAATTTAAGTTAAATATTTCATATTTTCCTAGTATGAGCAGTCATCTCCCAACTGGTCAATTGTCCAATGTTCCATGGAGAGGAACTGGTATAAAATATGCAAATAATGAGGTACGTAACTATATTCACATTGTTCCATTAAGAAATTTGAAAGAAAATCCTTTTTTATGCTTTGTTTTAGTTGTAATGTGATGAATGAACTTTTTTCTTTGGTTAATTAGTTGTAATAAATATTGCTAATTAGTTGTTAGTTGTAATTATTCATAATTAGTTCCAATTAATTCTAATCATCACAAATTAGTCCTAAGTATTTCTAATTAATTCTATTTATGTTATAGATTTATTTTGATGTAGCCGAAAGCATTGATGCCATCATTGATAAACAGGTAACAACATTATAATACTTTGGATTTCTTGTTCCCTTTGTGGAAGATGTATGACAAAAATATGTTTGTTGTTTTTGTTTGATGTTAAATTAAAACTAAGAACATGTACGAACTGAAAACTTATGGCATGTTTAAATTCCTAAAATTTTCTGTTTTGTTTAGGGCTCCACCATATTTTCAGAAATACAAGGAACTGTAAGTGCCTTCCTTTTTTTATACTTTGTTATATGTACTTTCTAGTGCACCATTTTAAAGATTTTTTCACCTTTTTTCAACTTTGTTCTTTCAGATTGACTGCAACTGTAAATTATCTGGCATGCCTGGTATATTTATGATACTTTGTTATATATCTAGATTAAAATTGAATTTATCTGTTGATTAAAGATTTGTATTAATTATAGATCTCAATATGTGTTTTACAAATCCTCGTATCCTTGAAGATGTCAGTTTTCATCCTTGTCTTCGCTTCAGAAGATGGGAGGTACGTAAGTGTGAATGTTGAATATGGATTGTCTCTGATCAAAGTCAACACAAATTATTCTTAATATGACTAATAACAATTGTCTTTTTACTTTGAACACTTTTCTTTCAATCTTGCACTAAAACTGCATTTGAACGCGACTACTTCAAATGTCTGTGTATTTTAGTCTGAACGAATTTTGTCATTCGTCCCCCCGGATGGTTGTTTTCGTTTAATATCATATAATGTGGCAACCGGGTGGGTGTTTTAGCTGTTATATTTTCATGATGAAATTGTCTATTTTGATGGTATTTTTTGTTTTTTTGTTTAGAGTAAATATGCTACCATTGTTTGCAAAGCCTCGTGTCTTGTTTCAAGAGGTTTATCAACTGTTGAAATTATTTTAAAATATTTTTTATTGATTGAAATAAATTAAAGTGTTTGATTTTTCTACATTCGTCTTTTTCTTGGTTGTTTTAGGGCGGAAGTGGAAGATTTGAATTGTCGATAAGTTCAAAACCAGTTATGGGTAAAAATGTATGTATTTATAATCATGTCAATTTATTAAACTGTTGTTGCATCTTCTTGCATTTATAAACTTAAAGATATAACCTAAACTAGTCCATTTTTTTTTTCATACGTATTATCTCAAAGCATTTTGTATAAAACTAACGTAATCATACAAAGTCAAATATTGTACACATTAACTTTTTCAAAGTCTTTTCACTCAATGTTTCCATATCTTATTTAGATCGAGAATGTTGTCGTGACTGTTCCATTTCCTAAACAAGTTCTCAACCTTAACTTGACTACAAACGGTAAAAACACTCATAAAATATTAAACATTACAGTCTGATGTTTCATTGCTCTTCATTGACGTTTCTCATCAACATTTATGACTTGTGTTCCATGTTTTCAGTTGGTACCTATTCATTTGATCCAATCAAAAAAGAGCTTTCATGGGAGGTAGGTTCATGAGGAAATTGTCACAATCACGTGGTTATGTGAATCTAACGTAACTTTAAACAATTTTAGATCGGTAAAGTACAATCTTAGACTTCGTCACCTAACATCAAAGGAAATGTAAGTAAAACTTGTTTTTGTTTTAAGTTTTGCCCGTCTCAGTTGATTAACAGACGTCTTGCCATGTTTTTCAAGAAAATATTTTCAAATTTTTTGCATGCAGAGCAAGATCTCCCTTCACAACATTTTTTGCTCACGAAGTACAGTAAGGTCGATCTTGCCAGTAACCATTCCTTGGTCACAAAGTAAGGTCGATCTTCACAGGTCGCTATCACTGTAGTTATATTCTTAAATTGTATTCTCTTTTCGGATAATTGGTACTATCCCCCTTCCACTTTGGTATTCAACTTTAAAGATCTGATTTCCTACCATAGTTAAACAACTTGGTGATGCGAGAATCGCTCTGATCTTTTTATGAAACTGCTCTCGTTTCATTTCGTCTTATGTTACTTGTCGTCAAATTTTTGCTGTATGTTGGTTTTCTGTAGTTTATTGCTTCTTATCATAATCTTTGTTTATTTTTCTTGTTTTTTTTATGAAAAGAATTAATGTATATCGCCATAATCTTTTAATGTCTTTCCTTTTGTCTAATTTCCAATGTTTATATTTCAGATATCTTTAAAAAGCGATGTTCCACCTTCGTAAGAAACACCAACTGAATTCGTAAGTGGTTTTTTACTGAGTAACGTATATAAAACCAGTTATAATTGGATGATATACTAAAATAATTCCCAAACCAAACGTTCTCTACGATACAACGTTAACATAACTTCCCTCAGACATGATTTATTTATCAATATTCCTTAATCATAAACATGCAACGGCCTGCAACAGTACCATCGTAAATTTGTAGAAACTCGTCTCCCTTTTGCCTTCTTTCATCGGTAGCATTCTTTTCTTTAGTTAAATTTAAAAATACAGTACCGCTCGCGTATTTGTTAACATACGCTAGGCGTATGACACGCGTATGATACGAAAAGGATTAGCGTATGATACGAGAACCATTAGCGTATGATACGAGAACGATTAGCGTATGATACGAAAAGGATACGCGTATGATACGAAAAGGATACGCGTATGATGAGCGTATAATGCGTGAACGATAAGCGTACGTATGATACGAGGATGAAACGCTGTGATACTTGATAGAACTTTGTTCATCGTAATAAGCGGCACTATGGTGACATATAGATGTCATCAATATACACTTAAGAAATTTTCACCATGAAGGAGTTAAAAGGAACAATAAAGCAACTGGGTTTTTATAAATGATACCATTCAAGTTCATGTATGTTATGCATCCATAAATTTTGGGTTGCTTTAGTTTCAATGAAATGTGCTTATCTCACGTCGTATCTAAGTATACATATGACTCATCAATGACGTATATAGTTTGTGACACATCCTATGAAAACGGAAAGTCATTGTGATTAGTTTGTTTTGAGATTCATTCAAAGTTGCGTGTGCTATAAACATAAGAAACGACACACTAACAATTGCTTTGTAGCAAAATAATGACATAAAAAAGTGTCAGTATACTCTCAAGATATTTTATTCACGAAATAGTTTAAAGGCACGATATAGCAAAAGAATTTTTTAATAGATGATCTTATATATACATGTATATGTTATGCATTAATAAATTTTGGGTTGCTTTTTCAATGAGCTGCGATTGTCTCACGTCGTATCTAAGTATACATATGACTCATCAATGACATAGCTGAATAGTTTGTGACACATTCTTATATAAAAACGGAAACTAATTGTGATAACATAAGTCATGGTTTTTTGAAAAACTATATTGAAGAAAAACTTCAGTATCTAAAGGGTTAAGTTTAGGACATGGAAGCAAGAACACTATCACAAATCGAAACCAAACTATATTGAAACCATATACGAGAATATTAAGAAAGTAATACGGGTATGACACGAGTACGACATGCGTATAAAATGAAACGATACGCGTATGATACGAGAAGGATACGCGTATGATACGAGAACGATACGCGTATGATACGAGAACGATACGCGTATGATACGAGAACGATACGCGTATGATACGAGAACGATACGCGTATGATACGAGAACGATACGCGTATGACACGCGTATCATACGCCAAATTATGTTAACAAATACGCGAGCGGTACTGCATATTCATTTGCCGCTTTGGGATTGAAAGTCGGTAGACTGGATGTACATGGGAGATAGGGACAGTTTGCATGGTTTGTTGTGTATGTAGGGGTACACTTTGCATGGTTTGATGTGTATGTAGGGGTACACTTTGCATGGTTTGTTGTGTATGTAGGGGTACACTTTGCATGGTTTGTTGTGTATGTAGGGGTACACTTTGCATGGTTTGTTGTGTACGTAGGGTACACTTTGCATGGTTTGATGTGTATCTAGGGGTACACTTTGCATGGTTTGTTGTGTATGTAGGGTACACTTTGCATGGTTTGTTGTGTATGTAGGGGTACACTTTGCATGGTTCGATGTGTATGTAGGGGTACACTTTGCATGGTTTGTTGTACAAATTGGTGTACATTTTAATCTTGAACAGATGACTTTAGTCCAACTAATGTTATATGGTTTCTGATGTAATTTAGAACTACAAGCTATGAAAGGAGTCAAAGACACAACAGCTGGACGGTATAAGATAAGAACGTAAAATTTTGTTGAATAAAAGCACATCACAACATTTACGCATGGTTAACAATTCGCGAATCTCCTTCCTAATCCTTCGACAAAACAAATTTTGATTAGCTTTCAAAAAGATAATTCAAGTTGTTGTGTTTTTAAACATGTATGCATGTTTGACAAAAAAATGTATCGTTAACTGGGACTGCAGTGGCAATTGAACTTTACCATGGAAGAAAAAAGCAAAGTTGTGAATGCAATCTTCAACTACATTGAACTATAAAAATGCGTCAATGCAGCAAATACTGTACACGCAAAGAAGTTATGTTATATTGCAGCACGTTATATTCAGAGAAAAATTTCACTTGGAGCAACTGTGCAGTCACTGTGAGTGCAGTGTACAATGTTAAAAAGGGAACCGTTCTAAATGTAGAAGGGAGGAAAAATCTGACTTGTTAAAGTTATTAGTAGTTTTTAACACCAAATGGAAATCAAGCTTTAGAGAGTTTGTTCCCACCAGCTGAAAATTTTGTACATTTTGCCAAAAACTTTAGCATGGTTTGTTATTCAATATTGCTTCGATTCTTGTTATTTTTCTAGTGTTACATGGCTGCTTGAAGCATATGGAGTTGCTGGTCCGAACAAGAAATTTGCATTCCACTATTCAACGTGGCTTCAATTCTTTCCGTTTTTCTGGTGTTACTTGGGTACTTAGAGCGTATGGATTTCCTTAACGTATGTAAAGTTTTGATTCTCGTTTATGATACATAGCGTACCCAAGTCTCAATTGGGTGTTGTTTCTAAGTTTCTAAGAGCTTTTTCTATCAAAATTTTATTTGTTGTCAACATTTCTAATTATGTTCTTCCTGAAAATGAATTTCTGTCTGCTGAAACCGATCATTCAGTTTATCAACTTGCTGTCTCATCCACAAAAAATGCTAAAAGATCATACAAGGCAGCTGCATGGCAGTTTTGAATATCATACGATTTTTACAATGTTTTATTGAATTTTCAATTTCAGGAAATTTGATTGGTAGTCTTGACGGTCGTTAAGGATTTAGCTGCAAACATTGGCTCATAGGTCCTGCCAATAGAGGTTTTATCTCGTTTGAGAGGAAGAAAGTTTTAGAGAAAAGTCGCATTGAAAAGTAAGTTTCCCAGTTAAATCGCAGCATTAATTGTAGTTTTGAACATATTTAGAAAAATTCAAAATACATCAGTGACACAATAAAATTGTAGTGAGCCTGTGGGAACATAAAATACTCGCGATTTGATATCATTTATATTGGTTTGTTAGTTTTATATGACAAAACAGAACATACGTGAGTGTCTACACTGTAGTGACAAAGCACATGAAATACCAAAAAAACTGTAAAGTTTTTGAAACGTGAAGAAAGCGTCATGATTTTTAGCAAGTTGCTATGCCACAATTGTGTAACTTTAATCAGTTTTGTTTTAATTGTTGCTATATATCGTATTTACTCATACTTTTCTCTAAAATGAATGTTTTATCGCTATAATAGTAATATAGGAGTCGTAGTTGACATCAAAAAGTGCATTTTTAATTTTCTACCATTGTAAGAGTTCTAAATTTGTATTTTTGTGGTTTGTGTCACAAGCAATGTTTACTGCCAACCAACTACCAAAGTTGAAAGCTAACACTGGTATTATCCATTCTCACCCATTTCCATGTACAACACTATTCATTCATTTTCAACAGTTTTAAAAGACAATTTCAAAAATTGTGAGTCTCATATAAACCAAATGTTTTTAATGCCCTTCCTCTCTCACTTAACTCGCGTTTCTGGAACTATTACTGTTATCGCACGCTAGTCGTGTTCACTCCTGCCCTTTGAAATGAGCAGGACAGCTTATATAAATGCTTGAAATAGACTGCGCTTCTATCGCCTAATATTCCGGTGCCTGCTTTTTATTGGCATTTTAATACTTAGTACGACTTTTACTGGTTAGTACTGCCATTTGAAATCGGTAGACCACCGACCAACGCTTGTAAGTGTATAGTAATTACTAAAAGCATACTACGTTTTGTCTGTGCTATTTATTTTTATAAAATATTTTATAGTGTTTTTCAAGAAAGTAACTGTAAAAGATCCTATGTCACTATTCATTTCCTATAAAAAACAGATACTAACCAGCTGCTAACAAAATATATCTCATATTTCACATAAAGAATTGTTCTTGAAATTGATTAAGTATGGACGAAATCCCAATGTCGAGGTCAAACATGTAGACAATGTACGTGTGATAATCTCTGAGGAGTTTTGCATCGGTAGAGGAAGTGATGGAACCCGTGTTTATCTGGGACTGAAAAAGGATGGTTACGGCAGAGCAGTGAAACGAATACGTCGAGATAACCGCATCACAATTGCCAAGAAAGAAAAGGAAATCTTGAACGAATTCAACGCAAAGGAGTCGAAATATGTTGTGAAATATTACTACTTGAAGAGGAGACTGAAATAGACTATGTCTATTTGATACTAGACCTATGTGAAGAATCGTTGGAGAGTTTTGTGGAATCTTCTACATTGCAGGATCTTCAAAAATCTCTTCCCAAAATTCTCAGACAAATTTTAAAAGGATTAGCTGATCTTCACTGCGACCCATGTCCTATTCTTCATCGGGATTTAAAGCCTTCCAATGTTCTTCGACGCTATTCTGTTTGATCGATTTAGAACGCAGGAATGTTGGCTTATTTGGTGCAACAAAAGGGAAGCATCGTTTTGGAACTGAAGACTGTAGACTACAAAACATATGAGATGGAAATCATGTTGGTTTGGACGAAATAAAGGATGCAGTTTTCCTAGACCTTTTGTTATGGATGCTACAACTAAAACCAGAAGACAGGCCATCAGCCAACGATGCGTTAAAACATCCTTATCTACAATCCAATGAGGAAAAGTTTGACATGCTGTGTGATGTTGGGAACCAACCAGAGATAAAACAATCGCAATGTCAAAATTCACATGTTCGTAAGCAGTTGGATTGTCATTCAAAATGGATGGAGCTTATCGACAATTAAGTATTAGAAGATTTCACAACCTTTTAAAATAGTAACAGAAAAGTTAATTATGAGTCGTCATGGGCAAGTTGTTTAAGATTTATGCGAAACGTTGGCCAGCATTGGAAGAACAACCCTCGTCCACATCTATCGCCATATGTTAAAGAAGGCAACTATAAAAAGTACTTTTTGCAATATTTTCCCGATCTTCGTCTTCGTGTGCATAAAATCATAAGGTCAACTGAATGGAAAACAAGACCTGATCTCAAGAAACATTTTACCTGTAAGTCATAAAAATAATTTTCCTTTTTCAAAGACATTACTAAATTAGGCTTCCATGATGATATAAATATCCCCGATTTAATTTTCATGCACACTCAAGGAAGTATATCAAGGAAGACAACTATAAAGAGTATTTCATGCAACGTTTTCCCGAACTTCCTCTTCTGGTGCACAAAATTATTAGATCGACTGACTGGAAAACAAGACCTAAATTGCAAAAACGTTTTACCTGTAAGCTATTCAAATAATACCCCATTTTTACAACTTAGCCATGTTTGAGTTCCATGCATAATAACATACTTCTCTGTCACATTGAACTTTTTTTTCTACTCTTTAAGATGTATGTTTTAAGTATTGTATAAATGTTTTCAACCTTCTCAACGTTAAGTAAAATTAAGTTCTATATTTTTTCGTTGGAAACGTTTTTAGGAAACATAAATCCTGTGAAAATTGAAGGAAGGCAATGGAAAGAAATTTGAAGATATTATTGACAACCATAATCTTGATGGAAAATAAAGTATAACAAACTTTTAACTAATCATGTGCCACTTTCAAATTGTTAATTTGAGCAACGACCAAGAAATTGGTTCATAAAGTCATATCAAGGATTACTTGCATGTATAGTCACTGAAGTATGGATTATTAATTAACTTAAATTCGATCATATATGTATGTAAAGGTCTTAATTGATGTAGGACGTGAATGCATGAAAAGCAATTAGGGAAATGTTGTATTAATTATAGTCGTAGAGCATCTTGCAAATAAATGTAACTTTTGTTATACATTTCGTCATAAAAGTTGAATATGTTAAGGACATGTACATCTTCTCTATTTCAAGCTGGAAAAAATTATTAAAGCGAGTCGTATAGGGTAGCCGTAAGTATGTTTACAAAAGTTAAGGTGTTTTAAAGAAAATTCTTATGCTCCACTGTTATTTGGTTATCACAACATTACCGTACACTAAACATGGTTACTCTGGGTCATCTGATGTCTTCCACGTATATTTAGAGATATATTTCAGGAAAAAAAGATTGGAGAAGTATTTTAGGTCGCTCTGTTTGTGATTATTTCTTTGAAGCTCAAAGAAAGGTTAATGAATTTATGTGTAAATTGTTGGTGATTGACAATTGTTTGTTGGTGCTTGTTTGGTTGAGAAGTTTAAAGTTACTCTAATGAGCAGTTGCTATTATAGATTCGCCTCACAAAAGTGCATCTACGCAGATCAAATCAACTATCGTCATTCATTTTAAGGTCACGAAGACATTCCTCCAGTAATTGCAACAGGATTTGGTTATCTGTCATGATCTCTTATTTTTTTCTGTTGTGGAAAATGAAAGTTTGTGTTTCTTTAAAATGATCGATTGATATTGCTTATTTATGTTTATTTTGAACCCATTGCTTCTAATTGAAAGAGATTGATTGCCAGTCTTGATTGCAAGAATACAGCATATATTGCAAGGAAATGTTATCATTCAATGTTTCCAGAAACTGTGTTATTTCCTTTGATTAAACTTAACTTTGTATTCATGCAGGCTTTATAAATGTCATCTCCAAATCTTCGTCTTACTGAAAATGCTGTTACATGTTACATTTTTCATGTTGCATGAGGCATTGTATCATATCTACAGTAAACATTACAAGAAATGTACATTCGTTCTAGATTTGACAACGATTCTAGTGATTATTTCCAAAATTGCTTGTAACTTGCGACTTGTATCGTGAGCGTTTTGTTTTGGAGACTTTCTATATGTGATCTCTCCAGTGGATCCATCTTTTCTCAGTGCCTCGTTCTTCGATTTCTTCCTGTCTCGACAATACTCGACCTAAACCATCATAAACAAAATTAAATTCATAGCCGCGTAAATTACCTTTTTGTAACAGCTGTTTTAATAATGGTTTTTCAAAACAGGCAGCGTCACAAATAGCACCTGCTATGACAGCGCCTTTTTGTTAAACTGCTACACTTTTCTCTCCACAGGATCTTCCTTCTTATGTGACGACTGATTCCTTATCTATCTGCTAAAGACTGCTTCTCACAGAGATAGACGTCTTCAGATACTGTTTTCATAAGTTGTTGAAACATGTCTAAAATTTTATGAAGTTGTTTTTGAAACTGTCAGAAATGACGCATCGATTTTAAGACTGACATAAAGAGAGAAAACTGCGTGTCAGTTTTCAATTTAAATACTAATGATTGAAATTTCTAAATAAACATGGCAATTTATTAAACGTTTCTATTTCAGGGAATTCCATTGGTAAACGACCGTCGTCATGGATTTACCTGCAAACGTTTATTCATAATTCCCGACACTCGCAAAGTTACATCATTTGTCAGGAAGACGTTTTACAACGAAGACAAATTTAAAAAGTAAGTTTTATTAATAAATATCGACTAAAGAAGAATTATAGGATATACAAAATACTCTAGTTCAACTTTAGAGACATAGTAAAAATATGAATACTCATGGTTTAGAATAAGTCTTTCTTATTTCCTCCGCCAAGTGTTTATTCGTTTTTTAATTTGATATGACAAAACAGACGATACATGAACAATTTTATTCATATGGCTTTGAATTGGTCATTGGAAATGTATTGTTTTCCCATAATTTTCTTAAGACGAACATCGTCCATCAAAGCCATGTGATTGGAGATCAGTGGCTTATCTGTAAGTTTACCAGACTTTGTTATTTTGTATTCTTTACATGATTAAAGGCTGATATTCTTTAAAAATACTTTAGTTTGTGATTTCTTTTAGGGTGTATATATTAACAGCGTTAAGAAAATTATATTGCATCAGACGTTAATTTTCATTGCCGAAAGTTTGTGTATGTAACTTATTTATATCTCCCTGTACAAATACTCCGATTTAGTATAGAAGTAAAGATTTTCTACCCATCAAGCAAAAAAACATAAAGTTTGTAGGCAGTAACTATACGGACTTAAACAATTCTATAGCATTAGAGTGTTTTTTTTTTGCTGCGTTTTTAGTCACAACTTAACTTTCATACATACAGAATCTCGACAGTGTTATATTTAACGTATTCACGATGCTTTAGCTTTGTTAGCGTGTATACTTTCTCTTCTTTATGACAATTTTATGAACTACGTTGGCGGAAGTGGACACGCAAGCAAATTGTATTATGAAGAATATAATTCTTGAGAAAACTGTTCTTGATGTTGTCTAAATTAATTTTTTCATTTATGATATGTATATAAACCATTTTGCATTGATACTTTAAACATTGTCATTCATGAACATTTTCATGAAATGATTTAACAAGAAACGATTGCTTGTCTTCGATTAGCTCATCGTATAACTGAAAATGTCGGAAATGTCTTGTCCTATGTCAGATACTTCTGTATATCAAACATAATTCTGTATATCGAACATTATTTGGATTTTCCAGCATTTGAATTAAATTAGTCCCTTCAAGTTTGCATCATTACCTATATTCGGGGGGGGGGAGCGCATAATTTCAGTCTACTCTATGTTCTAAATAGTAGCTATATTCCAATAGTCTTTGTGAACGCTATTTAAATTACAATTATTGCAAATATTGAGGATTATCGATGATCGACTTCATATATACGTTAATGTTTGAAAAACGAAAGAAATAAAAGTTACCGGTTCATTAAATGCATCATGCTAAGCAAAACAAGAATGATGAGAATATTAAAATGACGTGTTCTCTCGAAGTCGGATATGAATGCAATATGAATACGATATGAATAATTTATATTTTTATTAATTATCTTTTATTTTATGGCAAAGAAATGTATTGCAACGCAGCTTTTAACAGATTTTACACTGTCTTAAAGCTTTTGTTTGAGCTAAATTGATTTAATCTTTATCTCTACATCTGCATTCTTCCAAATTATCATTTTCCTATCCATTGACGATAATGACGATATTGAAAGTCATATTTATCGTTCAAATGATCATGATGTTTTTAAATTGTTGTTAAGTTTCGATTGTTTTCATAAAGTTGGCAAGTCTTTGAACACGCATGGTTTGTTGAAAATGTTGTTAAGTGTGTGTTGTTTTTATAGACTTACAGGAAAATTTTGCTGTCTAAAGTTAGCAAATTTTTGAACTAGCATGGTTTATTAAAAAAAAACAAAGACTAACATCAGTGGCGTAGCTAGACTAAAACAACTAGTCGTGCTGTTGTGATTGTAAACATGAATTACTAAAATGATTGGTGCTAACATAAGTCGGTGGTGTCATTATGGTTGATGCACTCCGAGAAATTTTAAAATCGATCACATCTGAATTCTCAAATCATTTTACATTTCAAATCAAATCAAAGCAAATCATTAATTTATTTCAACTAAATAATTTTTTTGAAATAGCTGTTTCGCCCAATGTCAGGGCTCATCAGCATGCCTAGGAATTACAAATGCCATTTACATCATAGATCAATAACAAATGGTTAACTTGTGAATCCGGCATGGACAGCGTTGTAAAAAGCTGAATGAGCAATCTGGTTTTCAGGCGCCAGAAACTCGACTTTCACACCTTTGCATGAAAACAAAAATGTTCGGTTAGACAAGGGAGACTTTTTGGAACATTTCATGGAGATACAATTGCTCAATTTTGCATCTCCTTCCAGTCGTTTCTAACCCTTTAGGAATATATAATTTGGTCGTGCCGGCCTGAGTAAGCACGACTAAAAACGGGCGAAAGACGTTGCTTGTGCTTTTAAGGCATTGATTAAGGCAGGCATCGGGCTAAAACACAAGTATAGTGTGTGCAATATGTTGTATGTGATGAATAACCGACTGTTTTTTTGTGTTTCCTCTATTGCACTTGCTTATGTCCCACACCAAAGGCATTTTCGCAAGCATTTGCGTGTAAAATTTAAACTAAGCCCTTTCGAAACTCCTCCAATCTCCGCCACCAAAGGTCGCCAGGTCACTTTGTTTTGCAGTGATCTTTTCAAATTGAGAAAATTTATGTAGGTATGAGGACTTGTAAAACAAGTCATTCTTGTTGTTTTGATGCTTTTAGTCAGACGGTAGTTAAAACAGTGAAGAAGTCAATAGTGTTGAATTACTTGAAGACCGGAGAATTTTTGTAAGTTTTGCAGACTTAATTGTATTGTACTCTCATCAATAGTAAATATTAAAAACCGGAACGCTTTAAAACGTAATGTTGAATTTTACGGATTTTTTCATTCATTAGAAAATTCATTGTTCAGAAGTTAAATTTGATAACATAAAGCCTGTCTTTCTTCCTTATTTATATGTCTATTTTCCCAGTACAAATCTTCAGATTATATTTTTAACAGGATAATTCTTTGCAACTCACCGGAATCAAAATAAAAACTATTTAGGCAATAACAATTCAAACTAAAACCATTTCATAATAATTGGTGTATTTTTTGTACAGTTTTTATTCTCTAGTCAAGATGCAGATTTTCGATTTCCATAAAACAAGACAATAACATAGGTTTTTACTTTGTTCACGTGTATTCATGACAAAAGCGGTATGATATACGTGGCAGGAAGAGCACACGCATGCAAATTTTCTTATGAAAAAGAATATGCTTGGAAATGATTTCAATACTTAGAGTTATAGGCTGATAAGTTTATTTCATAAAGGCGAAGCACCTTATTGATGAGAATTAGAAGAATCAACCTTTTGAGATAGTTTATCATTAACCAATTATCTATGCTGCATTACTACAATCTCGAATAGATTAAATGTAACTTTTATCAAATGTATAACTTTTGAAGCTTGCAAAGATTCAATCATGTGCTTTTTCCGTATACTATCTAA